GGGTACAAAATATACAAAATAGGGGGAATATTTATTCAAAACAGTCAAAATATTACAAAAAATATCCCCAAAATTTCCAAAATTTACCCTCAAAATGATCAAAAATCGTGTAACTTTGCAGAAATCGGTGGATATGCTTAAACTGATTTGTGCACTTTATTTGCGCACTTTGTTATTATGTCAAATTTTCCTAAAAGCATCATTGATTAAATGCATTTTTTTCAATAAAAAAAAAATTCCAGCTTTACTGTTTTAGCATAATCAACAATTCTCTTCAATTGTTTTTTTAGAAATAACAATAATTATCTTTTATTTATTTGTTTATCTGTTTTAGTTGATCAATAGATCTCAGGTCTCAAGATAATTTATCTTATCCATTTTTAAGTAATAATAAATGATTTAAATCTAACATAATTATTTTTCATGGAACCAGTTGAAGATTTTTATTTTCTCTTTTATATCAATTATTGAATATATATTTCTGATATTTATTTGCAGATCCATTCAAATTTAATTCTTTTCTGCTCACTTTGCCTGTCACCACAGGACCAATTTTGATTTTAAAATAAATGAAAACCTACAAAGTGAATATGAAATTATAAATTATATATATGGGGATAAGTGTATATGAAAAGTAATAATAAGTATAATGGTTCTGCTGAATACCAAAAAGCAATTGATTTTTTAGAAAAGGGATGTAATTGTGGTTGTTCTTCAAGAATTTCCAAGGAACAATTTGCAGAATTAAGAGAATCTTTTCAAGCTCTTTCTAAATCAGAACAAGATATATTTTTAATGGCTCAGATTAAAGCAATGGATGGTGGATCAATAAGCACCAGCAGATGCCTTAAAAAGAAAAATAGATCTAATAAAAGAACTTTCTATCACTGGGATCACAATACACTCCTTTGTCAAAAAACTAGGAATTGGTAAAACTTACTTTGAAAATATCAGAAATCATCTGATAAACAATGGTCTTCTAGCAAGAGTTCATAGTAATATTAAAAGGCTGGAACTAGCCCAAAATTCTTATGAAGAAACCAAATATTAAACTATGTCTTTTTTCCCCGATCTCACCCCTTTAAGCCAAAAGCTTGACCAATTTTCCCAAACCCAAAGCCAAAACCAACAACAAATAATTGCCTTATTAAAGCAAATCAGCCAACAGCTCACCCAAATCCAACAAAACCTTAAAATAATATGAAAAACAAAGGATGCCTCAATGGAAAACTAAAATGGTGATTGACAAAAATGTTGCTGAAGTAGTAAAGAATTTTCTATAGAATTATGCTGAAGTTCATGGATTACCAAGCCCAGGAAGAAGTAACAATAGAATAACACAATCCAAAAGGAAATAAAAATAAAATTTTTCTTATCCAAAAAAAAAATTTACATTGAATTGACCAATAATAATAATAATAATAACAAAATAAAATGTAAAAATGGTTTTGAATCCCAGTCTCATAATCTGAAAATATATAACACTAACATGATCTGGGATTTGAGGTAAAGGCTTCAAGGCGAGGCCATAAGTTTGGTCATTTTGAATGATCTAAACATCAAAGAAAGATGAAACTTAACAATAGACACCATACAAAAAAACATCTAAAGCGAAACATGATTTCCTATCAGTCAATGTCTGCTTCACTAAACTCTGACATTTTAATAATTTTTCAGTTGTCAAATAGATAGAAATGATAATTTATACAGCAATGTAAAATAACCACAACCATTTATCATTTTTGGAAACGGAAATTAATTTCAAACCAATTTGTCAAAAAAAAAAAAAAAACAACTCATTACAAAGTTTTGCTCTTTGATTTGATCTCACCCTTTCCCAACAATTCAGTTTACTAAAGTTGAGCAACAAATAGAGGTTGGAATCGACTAAAATAGTTGACTAAACTTTTTTTTGAACAACTAATAGTCGACTACTAATACTAATACTAATACTAATACTAATACTAATACTAATACTAATACTAATACTAATACTAATACTAATACTAATACTA